ATTGCATTCCTGTATTTAAGTACTGAACTGATTAAAGTTTTGTTCGTTCACAGGCTCACACTTTTTTATACCTGTGTATATTTGGAACATTGTACATAAATCTCTTCTTTAACTAAAAGAATATACCTTTCAGACTCAGCAATATATTTTGAACAATTTCCATTAATCTATTCTGCATGATTTCTGTACTCACACACAGAGTTATGCTTCAAGAAGACTGTAGCTATCATAATTTCTCGCTTTGAAAAGAACTATTTACATTATCTCAAGCACTTTGAATTATTTTTAGACAGAATAAACAGAATCATCTGAAGTCACAGTAACTGTAAGGTGACTGTGCACCATAAATTAGCCAAGAAAAGATATTGGGATTAATATCAAACAAAAGGAACAGTTCTAATGGCAGATTATCTTCTTCTTGTTGGGAAAAAAGTCCCAAACCCAAACTGCATAAATTAAACTACAGAAATTACTCAACCAGAAGAAAAAGGGAATCTCCGTATGTTAAAATTAAATAGTCATGTAAAGTAAAAATGTCAACATAAAAGTATAGAAAACAAAAAGATAAAAAGATCCAGGTTTATATCACAATAAAACAAAATGCAATAAAGAATGTAGTAAATAAAATAGCGGACCCAAGAATATGTAAAATTGTTTAATCCTCACAGAGCTGAATGAAGCATTCCTTTCTCTGAAGAACCACTCTTATCAGGAGGGTGTTTCATGGAGGGGAAAGAGGCAATTGAAGCTAGGAAATGATGGATAGCAATGACCTTTCTATCTGTAAAACATGGGCATATTTTAGGTATTTAATCTTGAGAATTGGATTATTATTAATCAATTATTCATGACAATTTGAATCTATGGTAGATGTTTTTTGTTTTCTTAAATATCACATAGCTAAGGTCCTGCTTGAGAACTGGAAAGGAGATTAAATCCTCACAAGCAAATAGTGTTCAAGACTGGCATTTTCTTTCCCCCTAAACATTCCTTCCTACACGTAACAGCACACATTGATGATAACCTAGTACCTTCTGTAAAAATTCTGCCTAAATATTCTGAAATCCACCTTTATAGCCTTTTTTTAAGGGGGGGGGGGGGGGGCCCAACTTTTCCCAAAGAACAAAGCAAGGCATTGTGGTAATATGGAGAAGCAAAAACTCCCATGGCTTCATTCCTATAGCTACGGGTTACTGTGCTGCATGCTTTAACATCCACTCTTCCTGACTTGCCAAAGGTGAGCAGTAACAGAAGCAGAACATCTCCATTACAGGCCACCAGATCATACAATGAAAATAAGCAGAAGGTGTTTGCAGATATTTAAAATGTACTGCCGAAGAAGAAGGAAAAGCAGATGGAGCTATTCTAAGGCTAAGCTCTTTTGAAAAGCAGAACCTTTACAGACTGAAATAAAACACAAAATATGTGTGCATCTTTGAAGGGAAAGGAATAGGTCTTAACATTGCCTTGAAGAATACCTGAGCTTAAAAAATATTAAGGTTATTCCAATTTGGGGGAACCGCTATGGCAAAGAGATTCTCCCTTACTCAGTATACTTGTAGTATATGGATAGCAATGGCCACCTTGTGAACAATAAAGCCAATGTAACACACCTAAAATCATCAAATATTAGGCAGTTCTTCCTGTTCTCATATATTTTGTTAAAAAACGTACACCTTATTTCTAGTCTAAATTAACTTCCAGACATTACACCTAGTTGTCCCTTTGTCTGCTACAGTGGAAGAATTGTCTTACGAAAGTTCTGGTTTTGTTGTGGTATTATGCTTCTTAGGGATTAGGCAAGCCCCTCTTTACCCCCTTGTTAACAATAAACAGATTGAATTCCAGGAGTTTTTCCACAATAAGGCATGTTTTCAACTAGTCCAGTCATTCCTGAGATATTTGCGGTTCTCCCCTGACCCTTCTCCAACTGAACACAGTATTGCAGTTACAGTTACGCAAGCTTATTAACAAAAAGGTAATATAACCATTTTCTTCTTATTTAGCTCTTCCCTGTTTATGTCAGTATACAGTAACCTTTTGACTCTCAAGCTCTCTTCAAAAATGATTAATTCCTTGGTGGAAGCTTCCCGTAAGATTACCCATTTACCCGGGATATTATGAACGTTTTCATTCCTGAGCAGAAGGGATGGTCCAAAGGAGGTGGGGGAAATCTCATAATCTAAAGATTAAAGAAGGGGGCTTGAGAAAAGAACTGCAAGGGCAGGGCAAGGTGAAGTGAAAATGTCTTACTGTGGAAAATGGGGGCAGCATTTTAGTTTACTGATGTTGCTTGGTAAACTGAGTTCACAAGTACAAATGAGAAATCATACATAATGAAGTCATTACAGTCTCTAACACTAGACTGCGTTGTTTGTGTGCCAATAAAACTGACTGATTAATCTACTTCCATATAACAGCAGGATAAAACATCTGCAAACAAGGAAAATGTTGGAAATTAAACACTGGAAACATTTATAACTGAAAACTAAGGTTAATACAATTGGAGTATGTATCAGATGTGGGAGTGGAAAACAATCTGTATGGGAAAAAAAGTAACTGAATCATTAGGATAGCGGCGAATGATTGTTAATACCTGAGAAAACTGAGGTATGTCCTGTCTAAAACTTTTAAAGAAACAGTTTAAAAATACACTGTAATGATCAAAACACTTATTTCTAACCTCAAGTTTCTTTCAATATGCAATATTCCGCAAACTTTAGTCTAGTGGGGTAACAGATTCGATTGAAACACAGCCATTCTGAGTTACGATACTTATTATTTAAGACTAAATACTTAAATCATGTTTGTGATAAACAAGCTTCTCTTTGCTCTACTTGTTCTATTTTTCAAACTTTAGTTACTGTGTAGATCAAGTTGTAAAACTTCTGCAACCTACAAGAAGTACTTGTAATTGAGCCAAACTGTTTCTCAATCTTTTTTAGAACAGACTTCCCTACACATAGCCCCAGCCCAAAAAAAGAGAAAAAGCTGCTTGAAGGTCATAATTTTTGTTTCTTCCATCTAAAAGACTTTAACATTAAAACTTAAACAAAAATCATTAATTTGAAACAAAGAAAGGATTGCATCATAGCAGCTACTCAAATGTGTCTCATAATAAAGCCACTACGACACAAAACTGTTATTAACACTAGGAATTTTAGAAACTTCCAGCTTTAACCGGAACTTGCTCTTCACTAAGTCAAAGGTAAAACTACTAGTGATTCCAGGAGAAGCACAGTTATGCACACTGTGGCAGTACATTATACCTCAGAACTTTATCCTATCTTTGATCTTTTCCCTGTTACGTTTTTAATTCAGCAACAGAAAACCATCCGATCACAGAGACATGTAACTGCATATAACTGTCAAGTCACATTACCAGGGACTTGTAGAATCTGCTGCTATTTCTACTATACATCGAAAAATTTACCTTCTTCTCTCCCACTTCTTCAGTGTAGCCACTACAGTATATTCTTGCGGTGAATGGATTAAAGGAAGCACAGCACCACCCTACTGTCCTTGGTCCTTTCCTCCATAGTTTAGGCACACTGCTAACTGCTACCAAATAAATCTGCTTTCCCATGGGTCTGGAAATAAGGAAACTTCTAGGAAGAGGGAATGAGGAGGCCACTCCAAAAGCAGCAGATGCGACACACCTTCCCGTGTCCTCAACACAATCACAAAGCAATTGCTTATCCAGGGACAATTAGGTTTAAAAATAATGATCTTTTGGAATTAGGTAAATTCTCAAACTGTGAAAGAAAATTCTTCCTCTTTATAGTCCCCTAAGATTTGTTTTTAAATTGTCAGATAAATATCTGACATGCTAAATTAAAATTTTCCTGTAAATGATCTAGATAACTATTCAATATATTAAGTATATAAATATTGACTGGGACTCATTATATAGAAAAAAGTAATAACTAAAGTTTGAAAATAACTTCAACTGTTAACACAAAGTCCAGGAGAAGTTGATTGTATAGATAAGATTAAAAAAAAAAAAAAAACAAAAACAACAAAAAACCAAAACTAAAAAGAAACAGATAACTCCAGAGAAAATCACCAGTCATAGCAAAAGCAGGTTCAGAAATAAGACTTTGCCCCACTGTGTATCATGTACTACATGGGCAGTGTCAAGCCAAACTGACCCTGAAGTGTGTGGTCAGGCAACAATCTCAGAGCTGGAGCACCACTCAGCATTTGGTCCATTTGCTTTCTGAATACACCCCATAATTAGAGAACAGTTCCTCATGCTGCCCCTCCCTTGAGTAACTAACGTTCAAGCATTCACAGAATTTTAAACTAGTATTAGCTCTGGCAGTTGACAGAAATGTTTTCACCTCAGGAAGGTGCAATTTGGACAGCATATGATCTTCAATTCAAGACAGAAACATGTGAATAATCTTGCATACCTTTTTATGTTTTAAAGCATCCAAGACATACATGAGGAGTGTGGACTTGTAAAAAGTAATTAGAAAAAACCCCGCAGTTCCATCGCATAGGTCTAAACCCTTGCCTTACAGCATTCTTCTAGCTTTGAAAGGAATAACTACTTTAGGATTCAAAACTGTTTATAAACTTACACTTGACCAGTACTCAATGCACCTGGAAGCAACTGCTCTCAGCACAGTTTACTCTGCCACTTAAATGTATAACCTGAGAAATCAAGGGTGATGACACCTAGCACAGTTGCATACTGCAGCTCATGTGCCTACTAAATATACAGGTCCCATTATGAGACAAATATAACATTAAGGCTTTAAAATGTAGATGCCACAGAGGTATATATCATACTGCACCACTCAAATCATACCTTTCTTTAAACTCATTACTTATGCACCCTGACAGGAGTCATTCCAGGAAATAAATTCAGTAGACCTGCATTATAGTTGCAACACAATCGCATGTGACACACATTTAACTGAGTCAACAGGCAGTATCCCGTTACACTGCAAAAGCAAGCCTAAATGGCAGCAATTTGTTCTGGAAATACTTACTTCTGATGAGGTCACCATCAGTGCGATTTCCCCAGATGGACTGGTCTTGTATCTCTGGTTGTATACTCTGGTTACTGGAAGGCTGGTTTATGTCTTTATCTCCTGCCGCTGTGTTCTCTTGGTCAGTTTTATCTAAGTCAAAAGAATTTTTAACATATTAGTTTCTATGGTATTTTTCCTGTATGTGAGCAAAACTCGTATTTGAAAACTAAAAACAAGAGAATAAAATATAACTTGTCTTAGCATCTCATGTAGTTTCCTTAGAAATAATTCCTAATAAATTTGATTTTCAATTTGTTCAGATCAAAATAATTCCTCTTTAAGAAAGTCTCTCAGTCATATTGTGTTTAATCATGCAAAATAACACTCAGCAGCTTTTGTAACAAGTTAAAGTTGATTTTACTTGTATTTAGTTACTTTCCACAAATTTTCAGATAAAAATTTTAATTGTTTCATCACACAAAAACCCATATTTTTTTTCCCACATACATGTGGCTCTGGCATATAAAAGCCACAAAAATTCCACAAAAGTCTATTCTCTATTTGCTTCATTTTAACATATAATTGAAGACAAATATTTCTGAAACTTCAAAAATTATTAGTACAGAAATTCAGAAATGTTATTATAACACAATTCCTTAATTTTCATTGGAAAACAAACAAACAAACAAACAAACGTGCCTTTTAAAAGCCATTCCTGAATAAAAATCAAATGTTTAGCTTATGATGAAAGGAAAAATTATTCCTTCTCTCCGAGTATATACAAGATGCAGGGAAATACCCATGGTAAGTATATTTGAGGGATTCTTAAGCTTATTTCACAAGACCTTGTTGTTTTGATGATTTTGCCAGTTGCATGCAGACCTGTATTTTCTCAAACCGACAGCTTTCATTTTCGCTGTCATTAATGTTATAGTCAAATTCACACACAAAAATCTTTCTATTCCTGATTGCTACAGGTTTTTCCTACTGGCATTCAAGGAAACATTTCCAAATCTGGAATTATTTTATTCTTTATTTACAGTGACAGATTATCAGTTTATATCATTTACTCAAGGGATCTCTGAAACACTAAATATTTTCAGTCTTGAGTATTTTTTGAGTATATGTACAACATTTAATATTTACAGTAAATCCAAACGAGCAACTGTTGAGAATTCTGTTAGCTCTATTTGTTTCAAATAAGACTGTGTTTATAAACCACTTAGGACATTGTAATGATACCATATCCTTTAGTAAAGCAATGATTCCAGGCCTGAGACACAGAAAAATCACTTATTGCTACTGCAACATATTAAAAGTTAGTTTCTTTATTTAACCAACAGCAGTTTGATTTTAAATCCTAATATTCTGCCTTTGTTAGCCACCTCAAAATAATATATGCCGTATTGTACATATAGTAGTACGTGCCTTCAAGCACTGCTACTCCTCTTCTATTAATTTCCGCTTCTGAAATGTCCGATCCAGATACCTCCATGGCACTTCTCCCTCAGCCCTCCCTCCCATCACCATCTCATCAACAACTTGTCAATATTTTCTCAAGCCCATCCTGAGATGAATCATTTCACTGGGACTGTAGTAAAGTTACTGGAAAGTTTGATTGGGAAGATATCCACTGACTTCAATCAATTTTGCTTCTTGCCCTGATGAATTAATCTCACTTAGATACCCATGCTATCCAAAAAAAAAACCCAGATTTTTTCAACCCCTTTGACAGACATCAGATAGAAATTATTTCTACTTGATATGTATCAGATACAAATCCAGCTGTTTTCAAGTATTATGATTTTGCCTGTGCAGTTAGGTATTAAGTACAAATGTGTTTCAAAAGTGTTTGAAAAGTGCCCTGAAATAGACTGAATGAGAACAAGTGTCCTGGAGAGAGCTAGTGTAAAAGCACTCTGATTCCCACATAGAGTAAGATTAAATGAGCTATTTCAAGAGATTTTGCCCTTAATTTACTTTACTGCAGTAGCAACACCAAGATTACGACAATATGTACCTGGCAGTGGTAGTACAAAACTGCAGTTACTGTACACAATTTTCTTGTACAGGGTAGATTTTGCAGAGCCCCACTATTTCATGTGGTAAACAATGAGCAGCTCTAAGAAACATTCATGTTAATATTATGGGGCCCTCAGTGTTCTAGACTACATTTTTATGTAAGAAATCTGAAGGAGTGCATAACACAGTCAGCATTATCCATAAGGATTTAGTTTTCATTGCTCTGCTTATTTTTGGTTCAGTATCTTTTTGCCTTTTTTTTTTTTTTTTTTTTAACTATGTAGGTTGTAAGTGCATTTTTCATACCATAGAATCATAGAATACCAGATTGGAAGGGACCTCAAGGATTGTCTGGTCCAACCTTTCATGGCAAAAGCAGAGTCTAGACAAGATGGCCCAGCAACCTGTCCAGCTGAATCTTAAAAGTATCCAATATTTGGGAGTCCACCAGTTCCCTGGGAAGATTATTCCAGTGGTTGATTCTTCTCATTGTCAAAATTTTTCCACTTGTTACAAGGAGCAACCTGTATCCATTACCCCTTATGTTTTCCATGTGACTGCTTGTAAAAAGGGAGTCTCCATCTTCTTTGTAGCCACCCCTTAAATACTGGAACATGGCTTCTTTTCTCAAGGCTGAAAAAACCAATTCTCATGTTTACTTTTATTATTCTAGCTGGATATGGTAAACTGCCAGTCAGAACAATGTAAATGATATTAACAGTTAACAAGAAAGAAGTTAAGAGGCACTACCATTGAACAATTTTGATAGGAAGTTTACAACACTTTGCATTAATTGATCTGTTCTTTGATCTATTGAATTCACATGAAGACTTCTCCATGAACGTGCGTAACAGAAACCTACAGCATTAAACATGTATTTGGTATCTTTGCTCTCCGGAAATAACCCCCAGAGCAGCAAATCTCCTGGCAGATGCTACTCTGTGAGTGTGGTGGGCTGACCCTTGGCAGCAGCTAAGGAACACATGGCCACTGCTTCCCTCCCCAGCCCCCAGCAGGATGAAGAGAGAGAACAGAAAGAGCACAAGTGAAGAAACTTGTCGGTTGAGATATAGTTTAATAAGTGAAGGAAGGAGGAAGAAAAAACAAGTGATGAAAAAATCACTCACTACCTCCCACAAGTATAGCTATGCTCATCAGTCTCTAAGCAATGGCTACCTCCCCCACCTCCTCCCTTGTTTTTATTGCTGAGCATGACATTATATGGTGTGGAATATTCCTCTGGCCAACCTGAGCCAGCTGTACCCTCCCAACCCCCTGCCTGCCCCCAGTCCACTCACTGGGTGTCAGAGTGGGAAAGGAGAAAACCTTGATACTGTGCAAGTGCTGCTTATCAATAGCCAAACACTGGTGTCCTATCAACCTTGTTTTGGTCACAAATCCCAAACACAGCACCACAGGGGCTGCTGTGAATAAAATTAACTCCCTCCTAGCCATACTTAGTATAATGGGGCTTTAAAAAAAGTAGATGTTAAACTAAGTTTATTTTAGATTTTTTCATACATCCCTTCTGATGCATCAGAACACTGCAAATAGACAAACACTGGTGTCCTGATTAATTACTTTTTTCTTGAATGTGCACCATGCCTCAGTTTTCAGTACAAACTAATTTCTTGATTATTCCCTTATAATAAGCAGCTGATAATGGGATCATAACATTTTAATCTTCTTATTCTAGAGATGCAACTACAACATACCAGCTACAATCTATCACACATGAAGACTCACTCAGAACACTCTTGAGTCTGTGTTTTGCTGATGCCATTATTTTTTTTGGTGCATAAGAATAGTGATAAGAGTAGTTTATGAAAGATAACATATTTATGAGTCCAGTAAGAATAGACACAAAGACCTTAATCTTCTCTGATGTGCCATGTTTGTGGCAGAGCAGCTTTAATAAAGCTTACAGCTGGCACAAATACTAATAGCTGGATCTGGCCATAGAAAAGTACGGCTTTTTTCTACTGCATCTTCAAATAAATTTATAACACTCCCCTGTTTCAATCAAGCTTAACCTTAAGAATTTTTATGTAATACCTCCTTAATATTTTAGCTTCAGCTTCCTTTAGTACACCTTTCCATTCTCACGTGACTAACCTCCGAAACTGACAGCCGAGAAGGAGACGCTCTTCATAGCAGTTCAAATAACGGAAAGAAAAGACTCATTATGTTCTGATTCTGTCAGTGCTAAGACAGAAATCCAATCTCTCTTTAAAACCACAGTAAGTTACTCTAGAATGTGTCACAAAAGCAACAACCATCTCACCTACGACATTTCAAACACCAGACCAACAACCTGTGTGGCTATGTACTTCTCCTAAACTAACAGCAGTCTCTGGGCTGAAGGGCTTCTATCCAAAAGCCCTGCAGGAGTGACAGTGACACCTACACAGAGTACCCTGTCCTGGGTATCCTGAAGGTAAGCATGGGCACAAACTCTACTTGTGTAGAGATTAATGCAAGTTTAAGGTTTTAATAAGGAAGAGATACAACATGTTGGCAAAGTACAGAATTGAGATGGTTAACAGCCCAAATCATATCTATATTACAGACAACTAGTAAACCACTTTGAGAAAAATTTTAACATTTTAATCACATCTCAAAATTACTGTTTCGTGAAATAAGTGAACAAGTTGAACTAATTTTTTGTCATTTGGAATTATTCAAGTATATATAAATCCCTTTTATAGTACACACATTCATTTTACGGCAGTCTTGTTACATTTATTTTTTAAATTACACAGCAATACATGTATTTCATAGAATCAAAACTTGGTTTCACCATTGAGACTACTGTAACACTGATTGTTAACTCTTGTTTTAGTTTGGAGTATGTGCCTCTGGCTACATATATCATGACAAATACATTTTACAAAACGCCATGAACAGAATTGTGTCAGCGGTCTGGGTCAGCAACAAGGCTACTATTACAATAGTCCTGTTAAAACCAAAATTTAACAAATAGCCAGAATTGTCAAGAAAGACCTATGTATCGTTAGGCAAAAACGCTATACAAGGCAATATCTCTAGATTCCCTCCAATGCTGTCTTCTATGCCTTTACAAAGTTGCCAGGTTATAGATCAAACTAATTTCTGAAAATTTCTTACAATATCCCAGTGAAGTATCCCTCTTTTCAGAGCTATATTAATTCTGTCTTTCTCTATGATAATGTAAACCATATTGAGTGGACACTGAATTAATACACAAAACTGATAGAAAATTTTAAAAAGATAGGTAATGGGATGTACACTTGCAGGACACACCTCAAAGGGCTCAAGTCTTTGACAAATAACCAACTTCACTTCTCCAAGTGCTTGTTCATTTGTACATTCATACTCCAGCTGCCCCCCCATGCCCCCAAACTCTGCCTCTTGAGCTTGCTCAAAAATAGGTCTCAGTGTGTTCAAACATGGCATCATACCTTAATGCATCAGTAAGTATGCAATATTCAATCTCTGAACATGTGAAAAAAATGGAAACAAGTGCCCACATTAAGTGAGTTGCTGTCCTCAGAGTGTGATTGACAGCTAATTTCTATCATTAGATGACACATAAGCCTATATACCGACTCAGACATCTCTTCCAAGCATGTGAACTGTAACAGTGCTTGACTAGCAACATGACAAACTGGACTTGAAAAACAGGTTTAGAGTTTTTCTATTGAGACAGGGACACTGTGGATGTAAAATGAGTTAAAAATCCTGTTGCTGCAACAATAGAAGGCTTTGCTGCTATGACACATTCATTTTCTGTTCACCAGCAGTGTGGTGGGCTGCACCAAATAACAAGTAAAGCAAAAGCAATTGCTGGGTAAGGCTTCTGGAAACCTGAGTGCATCATTCTCATCAAGGAGAGAGACACAAGCAGAATGGACTGGCGCAGCGGAGTCATTGTGACCTCCAAATGTGCAGAGTTGGGAACAGTCCAAGAGTTTTATTGTTTAAGGGCAGAGGAATGATGGAAGCACAGGGCAAAGTTTACTTACATACCTAAATTTGACCCAGCTGCTGGGATATAAACATGAATCCTCAGAAGGTCTGAGTTATCCCTGAACAAGCAGACACAGATTAAAACATACATGTGCAAAGCTCAAACCATCCCAAATGGAATTTTGTCCTTCAAAGCAAAGAGGAATTATAAAAATGGACAAAAAAAACCCAAAAAACAAACACAGAAGTGAAGAACAAAAAAGTTGAAGAATCTTTCCAAAAGGAAAGATAACAAAACAGTTCTCTGTCTCAAGCATGCAGTGGCGGGGAGGGATTCTTCAATCCCATGTGGCAAACACTGCATTTCTAACACTTCCTTTGTTCATTAATATCCTCGCTGGCAAGGAACCAGTGAGGATACTATTTCCCACCAAAAATTCCACTGTTCACAACAGTAACACAAAGGAACTGCGATAATACCAGGTTTCACAACACAACCATTAACGGTAACACCCATGAGCTACTTCATGAAAAGCCTAAAACTTTTAGGCATTTCACATAACAAGCTCAGCTATGCTATTTGTGTAACAGAATGACTATTCCAGGTCATGATTTGCCTGAAATGATCTCATTTCATTAATGACTGATTGCACAATCTAATTAATATTGATTATCCACAAATTATGGAGTTGGAATCCTCCACTTAGATAGTTGATTTTTTTAAAACTAAAATAACTCTTTTGTTTTTATTTCATTTCAGTGGCTTTCATTTAAATGTCTCATTACAACTTTCAATAGCCCTCAGAGATGCCACTGAAAAAATTAGTCCCTTAAAATTAGAGCAAATCAACTGAACTTCTTGGAAAGCTCTTACACAGAATTTTCCAGGTGCAAGATACGGAACAACCATGAATGTACTACAAGTTTGACAGCCCTGGACAGATTTCAGTCATGATAAATTAAAAATTAATAGCAACATGCATATAGGTACTCTGCACTATTAAAGGCATTAAAAAATTCAAATACATGAAAACTTCATTTCGCAAATAATCACAGTAATTGTCATGCAGTCAGTTATAAATTTATGTTATTCATCCAACAATATTTCACATGAGTACAAAACTCATTTCACCAAAGTGCTAGGCAATACTCAGTGGCTATGGCTGTATTAGCAACAGCATGTGCCAATAGAAGTGGACCTGTACAGTGAAAGAGATGATTAAGGACATGTTCCATATTATACATGTTCCAGGGACTTTCTACTTTGGCCTAGCTCTCATTTAATTTCAAAGACTGGTGGTTTATTAGTGGCTGGAGGGCATTAGGCACATTCCCATAGTGCATCTTTTAGATTCCTTTGTCCTAAAGGAATCCAGTCCAGGTCACTACCCAGGATCACTCCACAACACAAACTAAAGAGGGATTGAACAGGCGGTTCACTTCAAAACAGGATTGCTGATCCAAATGAAAACACTAGCATAACACACCCATTGCTGGATACTACTTATTAGTAAAAAATGAGTGTTTAAACCAAAAAGAAATCTAACTTCTGAAGGCCTGGAATCAGATCTGAGAAGAATTATTCTAACATAAAATTAGTCTATGAGATGGAACAAAAGTGTTTCAAATTTGATGCAAGATCTTTACAGTCAACTTTATGAAATACAAGTCTATC